TGCCTGCACACGCCCGGGACAGAAGTAGGAGGCAGGCAGTGTGAACAAAAGATACACTGTCTCTTGTGATCAAACAATGAAAGGGTTTTCATCTACTTCTTGGCCCTTCTAGAGAGCCTGTCCTAGCATCGCGTGCTGCTGTCCACTGCAGCCCCCCACCGGGACATCCCCATGCCACCGCTAACCAAGAGCAGCCTATCTGAGCACAGAGTGCCTTAGGCTGGACAAGCTGATGGCAAGGCAAGAAGGCGAGTGATCCTAGCCTCGGTACTGGGGGCAGGGGGGAGCCGGGGCACGCTGGTTAGAGAATGGGGCTGACCACCCCAAGAGCACGTGTCTTCACGTTCTCAAGGGTCTAGCACCCTCTGCATGGCCTCAGACTGCAACCCCAGCCAGGGCCAAGAATCCCATCCAATTGGACACCATTCCCAAGAACCTGCGGTGAGCACAGGGCATCCCACGCCTGCAGGGTACTGGAGCCCACGCTTGCTGACGCTCCCTCCAGCAGATGGGACCTGGACTTGCACTCACACAATTTCTGAACTGTGAAAGAAGACAGCAGAGGCTATCAAAAACAGGAAAGCTGGCTGTCTGGGTGGAGGCCCCCACCCACGGGGAAGAGGAGGCATCAAGGTGCCAGCTGCTGCAACACACACAGATGCCGCTGCACCACGGCTCCCAGCCAGCTGCTTGCCCTCTTCAGAAAGCCCCAGAGAGAGACGCGGTTTCCCCACTGATGTCCGTGGCTGCCCGGTGTTCCCCGAGAGCCCTCGCCCTCCCTCCCCGGGATCTCACAGAGCTGGACATGGGGAGCTACGGAGCCACGACACCGTATGGTTGCAGGTCATCCAGCAACGAATCCCAGAGCTCCACCACTTCTCTGGACCCTTGGGTTTTGTCCCACTACATGCTCTACGTGTGCCTAGGCTGCTGCAGCGCTTTAATGCCTAATGACATGGTGGAGATGCACCACGGGGCTGCCACTGGCCAAATCTGTGACAATCTGAGCATGAAGTATCGAGAGGGACACATAATAACCTGCTGAACTAAACACGGACCCATGAACTAAAGTTGACAAACGAAGTAAACACAGGGGAGAAAGGGAAGTTCTTCCTCATTTATACACACTTTCCTTCTATGACAAATGGAAAAGTACTGACTTTGTAGTGGAGGACACCACCTCTGACCAGAGTCCCAGGAATGGGACAAACCGACACCCTGTGCCTCCCGATATGCTGCACAGAGGACACAATGTCACACTGTTGGGACGACTGGTGAAGTCTGCATAAGACCCACAGATGACACAACAGTACTGCCGCGTTGTTAACTTCCCGATCCTGCTAATTACTCTGCGGCTGCACAAGCCAACACTCTTATTCTTAGGAAGGACACGCTGATGAATTTAAGAGTAAAGGAGTATCGTGCCTGCAGCTCGTTCTCGAATAGTTCAGAAAACAGTTTGCACACAGGTAGGTACAAGGAGGGAGGACGTTAAAGCAAACACGGCACAATGTTAACAGCAGGGGACTCGCGTGGCAGATACAAGAGGGGTCTTTGTACCATTCCTGCAACTGTGGCGTAAAAGTCTGCGATTATTTCAAAACAGAAAGTTACAAATATACACCAGACTTGGAGCAGTAAAACTCCCATCAGGTAGAGGGGCGGGTCGCCCTGCCCTGGCAGGGTTCATGTGGGGCGATGACACCCACCGAGTCACAAAAGGAGAAGGGAACATGCACCGGGGCTTTGCGCTCACCTGTGCCTCTCTCACCTCCTGCTTCAAGGATTCAGACTCCACAGCTCCGTCTCATATGCTTCCCCACTGCCCTCAAGTGCACTGAGCACATGACAACTACACGACAACTTCCTCTATTGCTCTAACTGAAAAAACGGGAAAATATCCTGTCAGGCTTCGCAAGGCTTATGGCAACAAAAGACCAACACTTTACAAAACGTACTGTAACAGTATTAAGCAAGTAGAGACACCGAATATTTAAAAGGCTCCGATCCACCATAAAGCAGCGTGGCGACGGACTCTGCTTGCCAAGAAGGGACACCTCCCCGGACAGACAAGTGCGTAACTTGGAAGCAAAATCCCTCCCATTTCCTCCCCAGGTTTCCACCCCCAATATTCAACAATGGCCCATCAGTGTGACTGCAGACAATGGACTGTTTTGAATCCAACAACTCTTAAGAGAGGCGTCTGCGGCCCTGGGGTCACTGTGTCACTATCCCGAGTTTCAGAGTCTGCTGTTTTGAACTGGCTGTTTATAAGACCTGGAGAATAAGTTTGTTTCGTTTTTGAAAAATGAGGTTATAAGCTAGAGCCTGTCCCTACTCCGCCCCCGATATTCCAGCCTTCTTAGAAAGCTAGAGTCCTTTCAATGATTAGCGACTGCATTTTTGCATTGGTTCTTCTATAAGAGATGCCAAATAAGGTTCACGATTACAAATACTGAGAAATACTGCAATGAGACTCACTTCTATTTATCTTACCCAAAGCACTGAGAACAGGTTACAGCTGATCTGAAAAAACATACGAGCATCTTCAACATTAAACCGTGTAATAACACTGGGAACACGGTGGGGGGGGCGGGGTGTGAACTCGGAGAGGCTCTTCTCCCACATGCACGGGAGAGGCTTGGTGATGAAGACCACCCAATGGCCTGTGTCTCCCCTGCACGTGATCTGAACTGTCCCGCACCTCGGCGGCCTACGTGTGGGCGTGGCTGTGCTCCAACCCCCGCCCCCACCCTAGCCCATGTCTCACCACCGACCATTCGGGGCCACCACAGAGATGCATCAGCCAGGCCCATCCAGGCAGGCTCGGGCGGAAAGCTCTGCAGAGTCACTGATCCTTCACGCCAATCACAGAGTCATCGATACTCGATGTAAGTGCAGAGAGAAACTTTTGCAAAACCTTCTTAAACACATCTGGCTCTCTGGCCAAAGGTTCTGATCCAACCCCCTGAGGATGGAGCTGTGCTGACTCATCTCGGTGTCCAGAGCTCCCCGGACGCTGAAGGCACCGGAGGCCGGCAGCCTCACTTCTCCTGGGGAGCCCCAGCCAAGCCAGACCTGGAGCCCCAAGGACCTCTACCACCCGCTTTGAGACGGGATGGGGAGGTGGCAGGCCCAGCGTGCCGGTCAGTTCACGGCCCGGGCTCAGCCTGAGAAGCCGCCACAGCCGTCAGAAGTGACCTCTTCCTGCTGGATTCGTGACACGTCCCAGAATCAGGACTGGACATATTCAGCCTACCCTCTTGAAGGGACCGACGTCCCGAATATCCCAGGGCCCTGTTTCTGACCACTGTCTCCTAGTCAAGCGGGAGAGCCGAGTCCACACACAAACAGTAACCCCGAAACCCCACCAGGGAAACCGAGGCAGAACTAGGGCAACGGTAACTTCTGTGGCGAATCACACAACAACCCACCTTGCCAAAGTGAGTGCCATTTCAGATCTAGGCTGAGAGGGAATTTATGTTCTGTGAGCGGGTCCCCGTCAGGTGTAGGCTGCCAGGCGTAGGCTGCCAGGCATCCTGCCAGCTAGACGCAGTATCACAAGAAATCCCGGAGCCCGTTCATCAATGTGACATTTCCCGTTTAATGACAGAATCACACGACAGCACATTTCCCATCAAACACACACGTACACACCCTACAGAAGGTATGAAGAGGATCCAGTGTGAGTTTTCTTAAACTCCCTAACTCCCTCATGGAGATTCTATACTGAAGAAATGAAAGACTCTCTTGTAATGGGAAAACACCTCCATGTATGTTTAAAGAAGCTTAAAAGCCATTGTATGTAACAGGAAAACAAGACTGATGGAAAGCAATTTACAGGTAACATCTGTTTACTAAGCAACAGCTAGCTACAAAAGAGACTAACATTTAAAGCAGGACAGAAATATTGGGGGGTCCTAAGCATAAACTCCCTCCAGAAGAAAAAAGAAAGAAAGAAAAAATCTTTAAAAAGTATTATATGAAACAATAATGTTTGACAGAAAAGGAGTCAGATGAAAAGTAACACAGTAAGAAAGAATGATATTAAATCGTACTTTGTAGAAAATAATCGTTAAGTGCTTCCTTTTCGATAAATCAACAGAAATACCTTCATAAACGGTTGCCAGAAAAGAGGTAAGCAAGCCCAAATCACATTCTCTCACACGTTTGCTGGTGTATCCCTACAGGAAGCAGTCACACATGCTCATAAGAGCCTAACTCCCTGAGTTAAACCCTACACATTTTAAAATGTCTTCCATGGGAATAAGGTGTCCCAAGGGTAACATATATTGCCACTGGGCAAAACAAAATACACTCTGTGCCTGCGCAGAGTAGGATCTAAGGCTGAATTTTTAATTTTTTTTACCCAACAGCACACCTCAAAAATCCCAGTGGCACTCAATTTGAGGTGTAAAATTTTTATGCCCCGAATTACAGGCTATTAATTATTGGCCTCCTAATACATTTCAATAAATGAACACCAAGGACAGCAGTGGGGGCTGGAATGACACAGAGGCCCCCCTGCTCTGACTCACTGCCGGCAAATCACAGGGGGAGACCCTCTACTTTAGAGCTGGCATCGTTCCCTGTGGCTGAGTGAAGATGGAAATTTTAAAATGTCTTTACTTTTGACCCAAACTGCCTCCAGGGAGGGCTGCAACTCCCTCTCTGGCTTGAAGACTACGTTAATATTTACATGGGAATATTTCAAAGCATATACATAATCCCTCTTTTTTCAAGCATGGGGGTTTAAGGTTTGTGCTCCTACCATCCCTTGGTCGGCCTCGGATTTTGTCTAATGGCCACCACTTACATTCAGCCATAAAACAAACGGAAAATGGGAAAGGAGGAAGAATGGTAGGTCACACATAGGTAATACCGCTCATTTCCAGAATAAGCACAGGATTATTATTAGTCTTTGCTTTTCTTTTCTTTTTTTTAAATGGCAGGGAGAGGTAGGGTGTGAGGGAGAAAGGGGGTAAAGAAAACATCATTACCCTCCTTGGGTAATATGCATTAAATTCGTCTCCAATACGCCGCAACTCTTGCGCAATCCATATCTCCGGACGCATATCTGCAGGTACAGCCTGAGACTGCCTCATGGAAGCTGCATCAGAACAAACAGAACAAAAATCACATTGTTTTCCATAGATCATTTAGAAAGTCCCAAAGGTCAGTTTCTAGAAGCAAGCCCATCTCATACACGCTTTCATGTTTTGGGACGCTCCCTAACTTCAAGAGCTACAATCATGCATTCGAGATTATGGTGGCAGGCTCTGCTACGTAACTCTGGTTCATGAGTAAGGAATACAGAGTAATTTAATTTTCAACAACAACTGGAGATTCAGAATTGCCAAATTTAAAAATCTCCTGGCCAGTGAATTATATACTTCCATTTCGAGAAGGCAAACTAACACAACAACGGCACAATCGATACTGCCCAAGAAATAGCCTCGAAACATATGAGAGTGTAAAAATTTAGGCTGTCCGTAAAGTAACTATTATATTTTGATCTTAAGGCAAGGTAAAATTCCTAGGAAAATGTCACACGTCATCGAGGAACATGAAATGGTTGTATTCAAAGCAAAGTCAGTGAAAACCTGAGAAATGAATGAGCTTGTTTCCATGGAAGGAGGTGCAGTGATACACAGGCAGTCTGCACAAGTGCCACCAAGGGGCCAAATTAAAGAATAATTGCATGTTTTGTTTTGATATTAATGCAGCCAATAAAGATGGCTCAAGTCTGCAAACACCACATGGAGAGAGGAAATGTTTTGGGTGTAAGAGCAAAGGCTTTTTTGAAAGGAGAAAAAAGAGGGAGGTTCACCCTTTCATTAAGCTGTCACTCCCATCTACACCCAGTACATTCAGCCGTTGCTTAATGAGCCCATTTCAAAGCCACGTGATGGCCAAAAATGGAGCACAAAAACGTGAGTTGTCCAAAGAACCCGCCGAGCATCAGGAAGACGATACTCTCCAAGTACCACAAAGAAAAGTTCTCCACACTCAGAGAACAGCTGGGTAACACAGGTAACAGGAAAAGAGATGAGATTATTGGATTTCAACTGCTATTCACATGCGGCTTACGCTAACTTCCTGTTAAAAGGAGCACACTCTACTGGCAATTAAACACACGTGTTACGTTTTAACCACAGCGAAAAATTTAAGCACCTATGATAATCAGATTTTGCCATAACATGAATATAGCTTCCTCTTTTGTATTTTTGTAAAAAAAAAAAAAAAAATTTTGTATGTTGTATGAAGAGTTTTATTTATCGTTACAAATAAAAGTGCTGTTGGTTCCTAGGTCCACAAAAGCACTTAAAAGTGAACTCTTTTTTGAGTTTTTACCAAGTCTTCTCAATCTCTTGCCCCAACTTCTCTGTCCCCCGGCCCTCACCCAAGAGAAATGAATGACGATCCCAAGGGCTGTGTGTGTGTGTGTGTGTGTGTGTGTGTGTGTGTGTGTGTGTGCGTGTGCGCGCGCGTGCGCGCGCACAGGTGTGGGGGCACTGAACAAAGACCACACGTGCATCCTCTCCAGAATCATCTGTGCTGGCAACGAGCCAGAGGGGAGATTTCCCCAAGGACGCCTGGTGAAGCGCACAAAGGCTGATGACAGGAAACTTTTGGGATAAGCCAGGCATGTCCCCTGAACACCCCTCCAAGCACACAGAAAACTGCCGTGGCAGTACCTCTGTCACAAATTCTATCGTTACTCTGTACAAGCCTATTAAAATTAAATTTTAAGTAGCTAAACCGGCAGAAAACAGAATTTCAGGGTATATGTGATGCCAAGTGGTCTGTAATAGTTCACCCCCTTCTCCTGGGTTTGCAGTGCTTTAAGGATTTTGTCCATCACAGGGACCAAATCATTACCGTCTTTTCATACTATCAGCCAATCAAGTGCTCGTTCCCTGACTTTAGCAGCTGTTGTTACAAAGTTAACTCACCTTTTTCTAAGAAAAAGCCTCTTTTCTTAGAATGAACACTGTGGTCATCACCTGCAGAGTTAGCTCAGGGAGACGCATGTATCCATAGATACAAGTGGCCAGACCAGCGCACAGGATGCCGCGTGGTCGCTCAGAACCCGTCACCCACCTCTCCCAGGCTCCAGAGCCCCACTCATTTCTCACTACACTTGGCTCTCTTTGAGAGAGTAAATCTGCCCTCAATCCTAGAGTCAGAGATGCAGAAAATGCCAATTATCCAAAGAAAATCTGTGAAGTCTAGACTGCATATTTTACAAAGATGACAGACTGGTAAAAACTGTTGCCAAGTTACCCAAGGTTTAGTAAATCAAGATACTCACTAATTTACCCAATGAATATGAATGCCCATGAGCCAGACACTGCTCAGGAGATGGTCTGGGTACAGCAACCAAAGATGCCCAAGCCCTGCTCTCACGAGCTTACATCCCTGCAGATTAAATGCTAAACTTCAACTAAATGATAAACTTCTGGACAAGGATACTCATACCTTATATTCTTGACACACAAAACGAAGTTAACTCCCCCCAGTTAACCTCCCCCAACCTGCAGGTGAAGTCTACTGAATTCTATTTAACACCCTCACTTACCTATGTGGTTTAGAAAGTTCTGTCTGGCTCATGGGAGGGCTGACGGCCAGAAGCACCAACACTGGAGCCGGTGCGCATCAAAATGAGCACCTAGTGACTGCGTCAGCCTGGCCAGCAGCTGAGAAGGACATGTGGAACCTTGGGGGCCAGATCCAACGTGTTCATCTTAGAGATAAATGCCCTGCTGTTTGTGGGGGAAGAAGATAAGCAGATGTTTCTTCTGCAGAAAGAAGAGTTCTAACTGCTGGCTTCAATAAATGCACAGAGAGAAACACATTCCCGTGGTCTGGCAGTGAGGCCCTGGAGGCTGTACTCTTACAAGCTCCTGGTGCAGACAGTCCACAGACCAGGCCCTGAGAAATCCTGAGCAGGAGGAAGAAACCACGGGTCAGTTCTGGGGCCCAGATGTGTGTCTTTGGAGAACTCAGGAGTCAGGAGAGTTGTATTAGCCAAAGATAACTGGTTAGACCAGGCTTAGCATACACTAACTGATAGAACACATCAGTAAGAGAGCTAGCGACTGTGTTTAGGTATATATATTTTTTGAAGTTCCTAGAGAATAGTAACATACACTATAAATTAATGTTTGCAAAGGAGACTGATGTGTCTAGACTATTCTAACACAGCAGCTATCACCACTTGGCTTTCAGAACCGGAGTTTTTTTTTTTTTTTTTTTGCGGTACGCGGGCCTCTCACTGCTGTGGCTTCTCCCGTTGCGGAGCACAGGCTCCGGACGCGCAGGCCCAGCGGCCACGGCTCACAGGCCCAGCCGCTCCGCGGCATGTGGGATCCTCCTGGACCAGGGCACGAACCCACGTCCCCTGCATCGGCAGGCGGACTCCCAACCACTGCACCACCAGGGAAGCCCCCAAGAATTGGAGTTTTTTGAGAAGCACATACTGTTCTTATTCCTTGAATAAACCTAAAATTAATGACCAACATTCACCCTGCAATAAAACCTAGCCCATAAATACAGACAGTATTGGTTTTAAGGTGAGATCGTAAGATAAAAATTCTATTTTGAATATTTTCAAAGGCATCCTATTCCTATATTTTAAAAGGGTGGCCTTAATCTCAGTTAATACAGTGGATTTTTGCCACCTAAATTTCAAAGATTATTTCTCAAGTAACAAAATATCTCCTTCTGGTGGTGACGGGGGGGGCGGGGGGGGGGCGGGGGCTTTTCCTTAACTTCATCACTAGCTTAATGTTGGTGTCTGTCACATGCGGTCTCATGTCACGTGAGAACCTAGCAGGGCTAAGAATGGGGTCTGGCTGACCTGAGAATTTGCTTGTCAGCCCCATAGCGGCAATGGTCGGAGCCAGAATTAAGGTTTCTATTCCCTTTATCACCAGTTTGCTGAATTCTGCCCCACAGTGACCCAGAGCACGAACCACCACGATGCGGAAGGGATCCAGGGCTCAGTCTTCCGAAGGTGAACCTGGAGCTGGTGGGGTTCAAGGGCAGGGGATACTCAAAAAACACCCTCACTCCTACAATCCTTTCTAGATACTCAATCTGCCTGCTCCCTTGCTAATATAATCCACTTATCAAAAAGAACATTTACATTTATATCTCTAGCCTGTAAGACAGATAAGCATCACACATAAACATTTTATTATGCTCTCTGCAATGTGCTTAACAGCCTCCAATACTGATACCTCATCAATAAAATGGGTCTTTATTTGAAACAAAAGCTCTTATTACTTAGATCACATTTTTAACTAAGGCAATTTTACATAAACATCAGAACTTCAAAGGGGAAACTGTGATGAGGTGTATTTTCACCCACAGAAAATGTAACTTCAGCATTTAAGAAAGCATTTCATGCCATAAACCTGGCGCTAAAAGGGGAGAGGGGAGGGGAGGGAAGAGGAAAAGGCACAATGAAATATAAACAGCTCTTAATGTAAAGCTACTGCTCCAAAGCTGTAACCGGAAGTCCACACAAGGCCGGCTCCGATCCTGTAAGCACCACTCTGAGCTGGGGAACTTGCTGGGCCCAGATTTTCTAACCAAAGCCACTAATCAAAACTTTGGAATGCAACTGTGTCACACAGGCAATTCTGTCAAAAGTGCGACATGCTAGTTGAATTTTCATCAAAACTCTTGGAAACAGTGCTAGAGTTTTCTGAAATCTAGCATGTCAGGTAACCTGATTTCCTATAGGGAAAAAAACCCCGAAACCAAAAAAACCACGAGGTCTCTGATTAATCTATTTTTCTATACCAGTGTGCCAGGTGGGTAGAAAGGAGGACATTTTTTCAACGCCAAAGAACTCTGAGTTACTGAAAGATGTGCAGTATTGCATTAACAGACTGTTGTGTTCAGCTACAAAACTAGTTTCCAGCCTGGAGGGTAATTCCAAATCTTAAAAGCTCAGCGACTGAAAAAAAATTAATATCGTGGTTAAGTGGCTGATAGTGAAATCAGGCTGAGGCTTTCGGAAAGGGCTTTCTGTAGCACCACCAGCGAGAGTGGGAAAATTAAAAAAAACGAGATTGTCGATGCATAATGAGCTCAACA